AAGGGAAGAGGTTTTTGTCAAGAGGTCCACACCTCTTAATAAAAGCAGCTTCAGCTTGAGTAAGATATATGCTTGACCAAGATAGGGGTATTGGCATTCCAGAGGGTTAATGAAATGGTTATGAAGTAAGGAAAGAGAGGCCTAGAAAGAAAACCTTCAAGAGGAAGGGAAAACAGTTCATCGGCAGGAAAGGGGATTGGGGAAAGGGGAAAAAGAGAAAAGGAGAAAGAAAAACAATTGCTCTCTTGTTTGTGATTACCAGACATACACAGAGCCTTACTGCAGAAAAGGTTGGCCAGCCCCAAAACCTTCTTTTTCCTTGTTTCAGACTTCTGTCATGCACAGGTCTTTGATTAGTTCACACTTCCCTTAAGCAAGAGTGCTTCTTCAAATGTGCCAGCCAGTACTATATATGTATATGTTTCTTGGAGGATAATGTCTGACAGTTGGAGGAGCCTTGTGTGGTGTTAGCACATTTCAGACTTCACCTGCTGCAGAGTTTCATCTTTAACAAAAGAAGAGAAGCGAAGGGGAAGGAAAGAAAATTTCCTAAAAAGAAAATCTTCAGATGAAGTGGGGGTGAGTGGGAAAGAGTTTTTTAAAAATAATATATTTTCAAAAACAATTAAAACAAAATATAATAAAGAAAAATATAAGCAAAAAACAATTCAATAAATATATTCTTTTATTACAATTGTATAGTATCTGATTTAGAACAAACTTTTCTTAAAACTTGTTATAAATCTACCTGCAATCTAAATATTATTTTACTTAAAATAACATCAAACAATCTATATATAGTTCAAATTCTATAAAAGAATATTATAGATTACAATTTCTTAAATAAGATATATGACAACAATAGAATTTTAAAATATTAATCCTTTGCAATTTTTATATACTTGAAAAACAAGCATTAGCTATATTAAAAGCAACAATTAACTGCTCAAGACAAGAAAGATTACAAGAAGTTCAAATAATTAATTGGAATATAAAATTAATTAGACAAATAATTATATTAGAAGACTACAAACTAGACCTTATAGAAACTCTATTCAATAATAAATTTCCAATAACTTTATTCTATAATTAATCAATTTATCTATATAAATTTTTCACAAATGGTTTGCTCTTAAGTAAAGAAACAAAAAAAAAGAAACAAAGATAGGTATTACCTGGATTCAGATTCTAGGACCTACATCTCTTAACAGCTTTTAATATAAAGTTCAAAACTGATTATCATTAAGTAAAATAGAAGCCACAATGATCTTAACAATAATTTTTATAGTTTTAAAGAATAAAAAAGTAATTATCTATACAAATAGTCAAAGTTGTATTGATACCTTTAATCTAATATCAAAAGTCAACTTCAAAACTAATTCATAAAAAATGGCTTAAAATTAATAACTGATTTATTTAATATAATATTTTTGAGATTTTAAACAAGAAAAACATTAGACTTAATTTCAAAAAAGTTAAAGCATACTCTGATAACCTACATAATAAATATGCAGATCAATTCATCAAACAAGTCATCCAATTATCAGCAATTATATGGGCTCCAATAAACAGTAGATATATATAAATAACTGCTACCTAATATAACAAAACAATTGATATAGCTCTCAGAAACTTTATTAAAAAAATTAACAAAATAGCCATTTAAAAACATATATTAAAATAAAGAAAATATGACATCTATTTGATCACTAAATTAATTAACAAGAAAAGTTTGCCTGGAAGCAATTTTGAAGCAATTTCAAGTTAAATGGATTAACCATATTCTTTAAAGAATACAAAAAAAAAAACTTTTGGATCAAATTAATATATAATGAATTATTAATACTAGATAGACTTAAACCAAGAAAATCCTGGCTATATGAAGCATATAACAATTGCAGAATCTGCAATATAAAGCTTGAAACCAGAGACCATTTTTTTGTATACTTAGTATTAAAGAAATTTATTAGTAAGATCTGAATTATAGCTATAAAAAAGTTCAAAAAAAATTTTAAAAAACTTATTAGAAATTTATCAAATATATTATATATTATTAATACAAAACTTTTCATACTTCACCTAATTCAAAAAATCTTTAGAAAAAAAATCAAAAGATTGAATTTCACAATTGAACTAATATCAAAAACCTTAGTTACAAAAGTTTAAAATCTAATAAATATAAAACAAGTTATCCAATCTAGAATATAATAATAACTTTGTAAACTGCTTTAAACTTTTAAAAGAACTTTAGAAAGCTAATATGAAAATACAAATAAAATATTACAATAAGAATGGATCAAGTTCTAGGACTAAATTTAAGAATTAAAAAAATCTCAAAACAACTTAAACACAAGAAATTATAATTATATAAACCAGTATTATCAATAAAATATAAGTTAAACTTTGAATTAAAAAATCCTATACAAGGATTTTTAAAAAAATCAAATTTCTTCAAAAGTCAATCTTCAAGTAATCAAAACAAGAAAAAAGAAAAAAGAAGAAAAAAAGCAATATTTAATTTAAAAATACATATAAATAGAATAGACAAAGTTAAAGAATTAATATATAAATTTATAGAATGTAATAAAAAATAATTAGTATTAAATTAAAAACTCAATCTGAATTCATTATATATAATCTATAAAGATGATCTATAGGCTATAATTCTATTAAACAAAAGAAATCTTAATTCCAATTAATAGATAAATAATATATTATCCTTATAAATCATATTTAAAGACCTAATATTATAGATAGATAATTTGGGTTGAGAAGATATATATATATAATTGTTATTATAATGGTTTACTATAATTTAATAAATAAATGACTCTAGTCTAATTAAGGATTTCAAAAAAAAAATTATAAAATTCTTAATAAAATCAAATTTTAATAAAAGAGCAATTAATATTTAATTTTTATTGAATTATATATTTCAATAGTTTATATATGCTAAAATTACTATTAACTATAAGTTTAATTATAATTAATTCATTTATAGTAGTAGTAATAAAAACTGACAATTTTATTTTTTTTAGAAATTGTAACATCGGATCTTTTTTTCTGTTACACTAATATCAAAATTGGTTAAAAGTAGGTTCGTTGCATCTTATAGAATAAAAAAAAAAGATCTTTTAGTATCACAAACATAACATATGGCTTTGCTTACAGAATGTCGTTTTCTTATTAAAAGCCTTTGGAACCGTGAATATAGAAAAGTTAAGAAACTCAAAAATTACCAGATTTTCTAGCAAAACACTTTATAGATGGACTGCCCAGCTTTCTAGAACTGGAGATTTGAGGCAGGACAGGCATTCCGATCATCCTCAGCTTCTTAGCCTTGTACAAAGAAAACATTTTAAGAAGATTACCATGAAAAATAGAATCATAACAAGCAAAGAACTAGTTGAAACACTTGACAACACTTATCAAGATCTCAATATCTCATCACAGACGATTCAAGATAACCTTCAGAAACTCAGATATAAGGTGTGTGTTTCTTGTAAAGTTCTTCTTCTTAATGAAGCAGCTATGAAACGTCGTCTCACCTGGGCATAAGAACACAAAAATAAATGATGAAATAAAATAATTTTTTCAGATGAAACCACCTTCCAAATGTTTTGCAATACGACACGAGTTTATTGCAAAGCTGGGGAGCCAGTTCTGATCCAAGAAATTGTAAAACACCTATTTAAGATCCATGTATGGGGTTCATTCTGCAACGAAGGAATTATAGGCTTCCATGCTTTTATGAAATCCATGAATAGTGAGCTCTATTGTGAGATACTTGCCCAAAACTTATTTGAGCAAGTTGATAGGATCCTTGATCGCAAATGAGTATTTCAGCAGGACAACAATTCTAAGCACTATGCAAAGCTTATGATCGAATTACTGCAAGAATAATGCCCACACGTTTTTGATTGATCATCTTCGTCCTCAGATTTCAATCCAATTGAGAATCTGTAGGCATTGCTAAAAAAAAATATCGAGAAGAAGGTTAATTTTTATGATCTATAAAAAAAAACCGGTTTTGCAAAGTGATTTTATGAGGGTAATAAGGGAGGAATAGGAGCAAATCAATATAAAGTTATGTCACAAATTAGTAAGGTTGATGTCTAAAAGAATAAAATTGATAATAGATAATAAGAATGATGAGACGAAATATTAAAAAAAAAAATGATATATTTTGAATGATGTATAATGAAAGTTTCTGATTTTAAAAATAAAAAATAAGTAAATTTTATTTAATCACTTGATTGTCATTATTTATTGCCACTACTGTATATAATTCAATTATACAAACTTTACACTAGTAATGGAGCCTATATATTGGATATAATTATACAGAAGATAATTTTAAGTAATTTCTTTTGTTCCATACTGTATATTATACTATATAAAGCATATTGATTTTTTTAAATCAATTAAGTTACTCAATTTTATTTAAGAATTTTAACTCAAAGAAAAAAAAAAATAACTTATTGAATAACAAAGTAAATTAATGTTTTTATAAGGCTGCTATGGGCTTTAAATTTACTGGTTTTAAGATGTACCAAATACTTTTCTAAAGTTATTAAAAGAAACACAATATGATTAAAAATTTTCTCAAGGTAATATAGACTTTGGTCTATTAATTTTTTCAGCCAATATTAAGTTTTGTAATTCTATTTGTAAAGAGTTACATATTTTTCCGCGCATTATACTAACAAAAAAAAAAAAAAAATAGTGTAGAATTAAATTATTTTAAATTGTATTATTAAAAACTGGATTATCGTTATCGATTTAAATTATTCAATTTTAAGATTTGCACCGTGGCATGCCAGTCGACACGCTCGTTTCTTCTTTATTTTCATCAAATCCGTACTTTTCCGCCGGGGTTGGAGTTCTTGGTGTAGGTGCAGGCCTAGCTGTCCTTCGTCAAGGAATTACTCGGGGAGCTGGTGTAGCACGCCGACTGTTACTGGTTTCTCTTGAAATTCCTTCAAAGGACAAGTCTTATACGTGGTTTTTGCACTGGATGTCTAAGCAGTCTGCAAAGAAGACACATGAACTCGCGGTTGAAACAAATTTTGTGCAACACGACAACGGGAGTATTAGCACAAATTTCAGTTTGGTACCAGGTCCCGGAAAACATTATTTCAAATGGAAGGGCGTTTGGTTAAAGGTATGTAGGCGGACATTCGTATTTTATATTCGCAAGAAACACGAAATTTCTTTTGATCTTTATCGACGCGAATTGTTTTGCCTAATAATAAACGGAAATCTTCGGAGCAAATTTGAAATGTGTTCAAAGCTGCGACTCGTGATAATGAGGCATTTACGCGTTGAAATTAATTGTCGAGCAGTCTTACAAATTATACCTCTTTGTAGTTTTGTCATATTTTAAATTTGTCCTCTGAAGACTGATGATTTTTTAGGTCGAACGTGCACGAGACGGAAAAATGATAGATTTGTCTACTGGTAGCCCATGGGAGACTGTCACCCTTACAACCCTAAGTCGTGACCGCCATATATTTGCGGACCTATTAAGTGAAGCTCATAAACTTGCTTTGGCTTCACAAGAAGGGAAAACTGTAATTTATACTAGCTGGGGACCTGATTGGAGACCTTTCGGCTTACCTAGGAAACGAAGAATGTTAGATTCTGTGATATTGGATCAAGGGGTTAAGGAGCATATAACGAAAGATGTCGAAGATTTTATAAACAATGGACGGTGGTACAATGAACGAGGTAAGAAATTAATATCAAATAGATATTAAAATAATAATGTATTTGATTTAATATATGAATGCATCATAATAAGGAATACCTTATCGTCGCGGATACTTGTTATATGGCCCTCCGGGAAGTGGAAAAAGTAGTTTTATACAAGCACTTGCGGGAGAGTTACAGTACAATATTTGCATTCTAAATCTAAGTGAACGTGGTTTAACGGATGATCGTCTAAACCATTTATTGAGTAATGCCCCAGAACGTAGTATAATTTTGTTGGAGGATATAGATGCAGCCTTCACAACAAAGAGGCAATCTTCAGATGAGCAAGGGTATTTATTGATTATACTTCTTACTTAACAATATCGAATGGATATTATTAATTGAGATTAAATCTTCCTTATAATTAGCTATCATTCGATGGTTACATTCAGTGGATTGTTGAATGCTTTAGATGGAGTTGCTGCATCTGAAGAGCGAATTATATTTATGACAACTAATCATGTGGATCGACTTGATCAAGCATTAATACGTCCCGGTCGAGTAGATTTCAAGGAACACCTTGGTGTCGCCAGTGAATATCAAATTCGTACTATGTTCTTGAGGTTTTATGAAGGGCAGACCGAGTTGGCTGAAAAATTTGTGCAAAGAGTTAAAGGTAAAGGAGTGAGTACGGCACAATTGCAAGGGCATTTTGTTTTTTACAAAGGAGATCCGGAGGCTGCACTTCGACATTCAGATTCAGTAACTTAGGATTATGATTTTAAATAAAGATTTTCTGACACCGCCATTGTTATTTTGTTAATCTTTTATATCTCTACTAGAGCAGTTAGGTTAGGACATGTAGTCTCGTATTTGTCGTGTAATAAAACTTGATATGATCTAAATTAATTCCGAATTATAAATGTTGTTTTCTCTGCACCAGGATACGTTTTATTGGTGTTAGGATAAGTTAAAGGAAACACTAGTAAGTTAAACAAATGTATCTCTTGGAATTAGTTGTGCACTTAAGGAAATACTGTATATACAGTATTTATATAGAATCTAGTAAGTTATTGAATTTAAACTTGAATTCAATAAATTTAATTTAAATAATTTAAAATTAGATTTAAATCGTGAAAAAATATGAAATTTCAATTATATTTATATTGTATTTATTTGGTCTGCATGTCATTTTATTGAAGTATATTTACATAAATTCAATTACATATAAAGAAACTACACTTTAATACATTTCAACATATTACGCTAGAGCTTTATCAAACTAATTTAATCAAATGTCAACTTTAAGCTATTAAACTTGCTACTTTTTTAACCTATAAATACTTAGCCTGTTATATTTAAATTCAATTATCAAATAATTTATATTAAATTTTTTAACAATATTACTTAATGATAAGAGTAGTATTCTGGCAATATATAAAAGAAAAGATTTTTTTTAAAAAAAAAATATTATAAAAATAATAGAATAATTTTTTTTATTAAAAACAAAAGAACATTTTAGTCTGGGGCTATTTTAATTTGGCACTTGCTTAAAAGAAGAGAATCCAATGAAAAAAGAAATTCAAAACAACAAATAGTAACAAAAAATATAATATCTTTTTTGAAGTTTTAGATAAAAGTAAAAATATATTATTTTTGAATATAATTATGTATATTTGTTTGATATTTTTTGAAACTAAAGATAGATTTGGTTTTGGATTTTCTTAAAACTTCAAAAAAATCAATTTTTAAGAATTTGTGATTTTTGTAAAAAGAATTATTAATTTTGTTTTTGTTTTTTTTTAAATTAGTTTTATAATTCATTTCAAAAAATATTATAGTCACTGAAAATGTTTTGTGGATTAGCTATAATAAATAAGTAGAACTTAGTAGGCTCTTTTATTATACTATATTTTTTAATTGCTTTTTGTGTTTTTTTTTTGTTACTGTATTTTTAAAAATTTTTTATTCAATTTGTAACAATATTTTCTTTTTTTTTTTAAGAATTTAATAAAACTTGTACTTGATTTTGTACAAGTAAAAAACTGGATTATCAAGATATTTGTATTGTTATAATTATATTAGCAAATAATATTAGTTTTATTTTTAGTTTTATTTTATTTTATTATTTTTATTATTTCTATTATTACTATTATTATTATTTTTTGGAAAGGATTTTTTCAGCAGGTAAATATTATTGCTTTATTTGATTTGTATATATAAAATAGTATATATCATGAAAAAAATAATATCTCTTAGATATAACAGTATACAATAAATTTAATAGTAGCTTATTTACTTTAACAATATCTAATTAATATTGAAAAAAATTTCAAAAGCAATATTAATATATTAGATAAAGAAGTAGCAGCTATACCTATCTACTTGAAAAAGTTTTGTGAAATCTTTTGATTTTTTGAATATAGAATAAATAAAAAGAAAAGGTTTAGTATAATTAGAATTAAAACTGAATCAAATAAACTATAAAATCTATAAGTAGAAAATCAATTATTTTTCCAAAAGAACCTTCGGACAGGCTTGTGATTTTATCTTTCTGGCTCTTTGATTACTATAGATAATAAAATATACATAATATTGTTTGTTATTATAGTTGTTAATAAAGTAAACCAGTTTGAATCAATTGTTGTTATTGTTATTATTGTTAAATTGATGAATTGGTTTAAACTAGTTTTGTTATTTTGATTTAAGTAATGTGATAAATTTTGATTAAATGGTTATTAGTATACATGTGGTGGAATTGAATTCAATCAATTTTCAAAAACCATATTATGATAGAATTACTAAGTAATATATAGTAAATAATTGAAATTTGTATTTAATTCAGAATCGTATTGTCGATGAAATTTTCTTTTATGGTAATACAACCACATATATGGTTATCAGGTATTAATCAATTGAAGGGATAAGCTGATCTCAGTTTTTGAGATCAAAAAAGATTATGGATTTTTTTGAGTAATATAATAAGTAATGCCAGGATAGAAAAGTGTATAAAGATTGACTTGAAACAAATATTACACTAGTCGAAATTTGATCATTCGGCATGTCGAATTATTGCCAAATTTTTAAATTTTTTATAATTAAATTTAAGCTAAATTTATACCGTTTGGTGTCACTCAGCATAAAAATCAAATATAGATATTCATTAAATATTCATTAATAGTTTGACCATAACATTATAGCATTTGACAATATAAATACAAATATTTGATAGATAACTTAGCTATAATTTAACATATTTTATGTTTGAATTTTCATATATATTAACAATTAATTTCATTATTTAAAAATAAAAATAATTAATAAAATTCAATAATTATTCGTAATTATAATTAAGAAAAAGTTTATTAAAATATAATAATAAAATAATATAATTTGAATATAACAAAAAAATCACTCATATAAACAAAGTTATTCGTTATCTTCTGTTTTTTTTTCCTCTTCTTTCTCTTCTACCACTTTTTTTTCTTTTCCTTTAATTGATCTTATTTTGGATAACTTTCTTAATGTCCTTTTTTTTTCCTTTTTTTCAGTTGTTTTTTTCTTGCCAATTTTTGTACCTTTTACTGCTTTCACCTTAACAACTGCCTCTCTGATTTCACCTATTATTGCATTTTCTCCAGTTTGATGCTTCTTTGAATATATTGATGATTTTTCAGCAACCTTTTATTTTTTATGTTTTTCTACTGATTCTTCAGCTTTTCCTTCTAAATAGTAAGCCCAATTCGGCAAATCTTTGGATGGTGTTACATCATAATAAATCGTAGTCTCATAAGTTCTCTTATGAGTTATTTTTGTATATTAAATTTCTACTATATGTTTGTTCAAAACTTCTTTTAGCAATTTAGTTAATTATATAATAAATAAATATTTGGTATATAAATATTAAGCAAACAAATATTTAATTTTAATGATATTTAAATACCTCATAAGAATGACAATTATAATCATATATGACTACTTTTCTTTTATCGTTTTCTGAATCAGTTTCACTTTTTTCAGGTAAATGGATCTTAATTTCTTTAAAGATATTAAATAATTCATTTTGATATTTTGTAATTTCTTTAGACTTGTTTTTAATTAATGATCTCATGGCTTTAATTCTTCGACCCCTTTTCTTTATTATTCGTTAAAAATTAGTATATGTAAAATAAAGTATATATATAAGCCTAATGTTCTTACCTCATTTAACTGATTGTTCGCATGCAAATGCCTATTGTCTGCCTCTAATTTTCCTGATTTTGATTTTAGGTACTTTCCTCTTTGATGACGATGTAAAGCATCTAACCAATTATATAGTTATCTTCGTGAGAAATTAAAGTTTGGAGCTATTAAACTCAATAATTTGGGTATTAGCTTGGCTAATATTTTTTTATTTTTAGAACTCAAAAAAACTTTGTCCATTCTTAGTTTATAATGTTCAAGGAATATCTTCACAATATATTTCATTTCTTTTCTTGTTTTTTTTGGATCTGTCTCATAAACTGCTTGCCCTTATCCTTTGTATCTCTAACTGGTCAAAACCTTTGTTCTTATGGACTTAACCAACATTTAGTACTTTTATAATCTTCGGCATTTTCATAATCTTTAATATCAATATTTTCAGAATATTTGGCATCAAAATCTTCGGTACTATTATTACCAGAATTTTCATTTGGGACTTCTATTAGTACTGCAGATATCCCTGTTTCAGGTAATATGGATCCTTCAGATAATTCAGATCTCAGAGATATTATAACAATCAGATTCTTTTCTAAATATGCTATTTTTTCCTTGAATTTTTTCTTTTGAGTGGAAAACTCTTTATTTATGTATTCTAAAAATTTTATTGTATCTTCTAGAGCATTAATCTTGTTTTCTAATTCGGTATTCATTTTTTTTAGCTCTTCAACTTCTATTTGCAAATTTTTAATTTGTTTATTTAAATAAATCAGTTGATTAGTAAAGATAAGATTTATTTAATAATTTGATATTAATTTAATTTTATATCTTTTTTGGCCATTATATCAGCTTCCCATGCTAGTGGGAAATGGATAGATGATGATGATAATGATCTTTTAATCAATTGCTATGCTAAAGTAGGGTTAATGAAGATTCTATACCAGGTGATATTGAACAAGACCTTACTTTCTAAATTTCTAACGAAACCTGGGAAGACTCTGAAGGTTGCCGTGAATGCGAAAATTGCCGTGATAGTAAAGGTTGCCATGATCATGAAGGTTGCTGTGATTGCAAAGGTTACGAAGATGGTGAATATTGTGAAAATAGCATAGGTTGTGAAGGTTGCAAAGATTGTGAAGGTTGTGAAGACTGTAAAGATAACAAAAGTTGTTCTCTATAGGATTTTTTTTTGAAGTTTTTCTTGTTTGTTTGAACATTTTTGATTTTAGATTTCGTTAAAAAAAGGAATATTTATGTAAAATTATTCGTATTATAAAATTATATTTTTGATATATTACAACAACCCTCATTAGGAACAAAATCCAATCCAGAAAAGCAATAACTAAGTTTAAGAAAATCAGGGCTCATGTAAGAAACAGCAACAATGAAAAAGCAGATAGTCTAGCAAAGGAGAAAAGAGAACTTGGATATGAATGGATGGTTGGAATCAAATGTCAACATATCGATAGTCTAATTTGTAGACTGCAATGGAACAAAGAAAATCTAGATATTGGTACCAATGGTTTTATGAGACAATGGCAAAACAGCAAATGAATCAGCACATGGGCCATACAAAGAAGACACAAGGCATG